AACGACAATTACAGTACTTTAAATTAAGAGGGAGGCGGGGAGCGGGGAAGCGAGCTATAAAACTCTTTGCTTCTAATTGCTCTAAATTAGACCAAATTACCGCGGCTTAATTTATAGATATATTTAACAGCCGGAGTACAAATTTCGGAAGAACGTGCGCCCCGAGCATTCGACGTTTTTTCGATTGTTTTTAGCTGCGCGGTGTGTCCAAGGTGAGTAAAATAGAGTCGCGCTCGTGTGCAATCTGCATAAAGGGTTTAGCGAGCTAAGAAGATTTCGATCCCCGCGCATAATCCATTGTCATACAGGACAAAATGTCCATCCAGATAAAAGAGAATTTTATGTTAAATTTTATCTCAAAAAAACTCACTGAATTTCGAGATGTCGCAAGAAATGTGATTTTTTTCATTACGTTCGAGAGCGCATTTGACCGAGTAAAAAGGAATAAAGTTTGGACGGAAAGAAAAAAAATTCACATATTTTATTTATTAATCAGACACTATTACGTTTGCACTAAGATAAATTGATTTTCTTAACGCAGAAAAAGATTTCTTATGAAAATTAAAAACTTTGAAAACGTATACAAAGAAAAAGTAAGTAAGCGCGAAGAATAAATTTAAGTGGCTATTCTCAGCGGCAATTTTGACGAAATATTTCAGCGGTGAAAAAGAGGAAGTCGGGTGTTGTTAGCATTTTTGATCTGTGCAAAAAAAAGTTTCTCTCAGCTAATTGCCAGTAGAAATTTAACAAATTGAAAATTCTCGAGGTGACCCCAGGGTGCCGAGCATAATTGGGGGCTCCGGGATTTTTTCGTTATAAGATGCGCTCTTGGCATGCGCGAGTGCAAATTGGCGAAGACGATTGGCGATTGAGCATGTCAGGCAGATTGCGTCAATAGTGCGCATCGACCTTTAATTGTCATTACATATCGTTGGCTTGAATATTCGTGTTTGAGTACAACATGAGTTTTTGCCATAAAAGCTTTAACAAGGCAATATTAACGTTAATGCGTGTATTGCGGCTTTTTAAAATTTTCTAGAGCCCATGATACACAAGATTATTTGCGAGGCTAATTGGAATAAATGATTTCAAACATTAATATTTATTTTTTTGTTAAATCTAAATTAATAAAAAAAAATTTATATTTACAGAGTACTCGGGAAAAATTGTTTATACACTCATCAACAAAATTATCGCATAGCTAAATTTATATCAAAATTTCATAAAACTTTAAATAACTTCGCGAAAAATGGTCGTATGAAAAAGTTTTTTATTCTCGAGGATAAAGTTTGTATTTAAAGAAGCTTAATAGATTTCGAATTTATCTTTCTTCCACCGACTTTTTAAAAGTAAAGACATGTTATGTCTTTAAAAAATTGCATAATTGACGCACTCTGCGGGGTGGAATGTTTTTTTTCGCAAATGTCATAATCATCATAAAATTTGAACTTTTTCATTTAAAAAGAATTTTAAAATAAAGAAAATTTTGTACGATTTTTTTTGCAAAATTGCAACATATCAAGTTATCATTGCATCAAAGTAATTCTTGTTTAATTACCGCCAGCATTTATACAATAAGCATTACCTAATGTGCATTACGGGGAGGTTACTGATCAAATTCTGCGCATTGAATGTGTGTCAATCACCTTAAGTCACTTATTAATTCCAAATGAATGGCGCACGTCGCAAAAAATACAAATAAACATAAACACGCCTTAATTATTTCGCGAAATCCTAATGTTAAATGCATGGGCGTCCGCAAGGGGGGGGGAGCAAAAGAAGTTTTGCTCCCCCTCTGAAATTAGACAAGTGTAAGAAAATTCAGAATTTGCTCTCTCATTTATACAAATAATAAATATATTTGTCAAATATGAGAGAGCTAAAATACATCACACGTACACAACATTTGGATATTTGCTCCTCGCGGTAGTTCGTACTAAAAATTTGGATCATACCTTTCTCTAGAAAAAATCCTGCAGACTTTCTTGGTTAAACGGTTTGCCATAATCTACGTTTAGGAATATTTTTGACTTGGAGTTACTTTATCTCGCGGCATTTTTTATTACTTCTTGCAGACTTTTACAATTGAATCTATAAAACTAAGCATTTACGTCCTTTCGAATCGCCTGTCTGAAACGATTCTTTCTCTAATCACATTTAAAAGTGTTTCGGAATCCGCGGACTCTTCAAATATGTGTTCTCTAATTATTGATTCCGTCAACTGATCTTCAAGAATAACAGAAAATTTTTGAGAATATGATGAGTCAAAAATTTTTAATTAAAAAAACTAAATCAAAATATTTTTTAAATAAATGATTTAAAAATCTTTTTAGAAAATGTTTATTAATTTCCAAAAACAAATATTAGATCAGCCAAGAATTATAATAATAAAAATTATAATTATAATTAACCAAGAATTTAGTTAAATATAAAAGACACATAAATATTTTACTCACAACTTACATACATAAAATTGTAAAGTGTATGCAAATAAACGCTTAATAAATGCGTTCAAAGTATATGCAGTAATAATTTAAACAAACATAATGTTCAAAAGTGTATGTACAGTAAAAGTTTAATACCATTGCCTTTCCAAATAATTTTTAGTTTTATCACAATTTTATGTACGTAAGTGTGAAAAAACATGTGTTGTGTAAATTATTTTTGTCTTCTATACTTAACTAAATACTTGGCTAATTATATCATCTAATATTTGTTTTGAAATTTAATAAACATTTTTTAAAAAGATTTTTAAAGTTAACGATATATCTAAATTATTTATTTAAAAAATATTTTTGCTTTAGTTATTTAATTAATAAAAAATTTGGTTTAGGAAGAAATATAACATACGATTCTTTTTTACATACTTAGCATACTTTTTTTTTTAAGGTTTTGTTCACGGATTTATATAATCACAATATTAGTCAGAATATTTTCGGCACGTTCACTTTGAATATGGCCAAATCACATCAATGCACACACACAGTGACAAAAGTCTTCGGCCAGATTTTTCACGTTTTCTTACAAAAGCAAAGATCAAAAGAATTTTGATTAGCATTGTAATAAGGATATGTCATTAAAAAAAACAATATAAGAAATGGGTACCACTTATTATTGGATATAAACGTTTATTTGAAGGATTACTGAACTGAAGGTTGGTCCACTTGTACAAATCGATGATAATTATACATATATTTATACTAAATCTTAATATTGAAGTGTATGTTCAATATACGTAAATTTTTAAATTAAAACATGCTCTAATTGGTTACTTTATTTTAATGTGAAAATAATACTAAAAAAATATAAAGTATATCATAATCTTTGACTTAATCATGCCGTAATATTGATTAATGTGTATAATCACATGTAAAAGATAGCATTGCAGTAAAATATGCAAAAAGATTTTTTGTAGCATTCGGCATAATCAAGAAAAATAATATAAAAAACAATTTTCTTCAAGGCTTCTACGATATTAATATATTAATATTATACTTCTAAAAATAAGATATTAATATTAGCGTCATTATCAAATTACTTGTCAATTTAATTGTAATATTACGTAGTCTGGATTTATTTTGAAGCTGTATTTTAAGATCGACAAAATATTTGGTGCGCAGTTTACCTGAACTAAAGATTGTAAGATTCACACAAAAAATATTATTAAGCACCAAGATTGGCTTTAAACTGCATTTGGCGTTTATAACTTTGTTTGAACTTTTCATGGAATTGATTAGGTTTCATATTAATGTTTGAAATTAATATCTTAATGTTATTAAAATATATAAAAATACTTTTCACTGATTTTAAAATAAAGTAACTTATTACAAGAGCATATTTAATTAAAAAATGTACATATTTAAGTTAGAACTCTTCTAATTTGTCGATGTCATGTGACTAATCCAGTTTGAATACGAAGAAACTCTAGTAAACATTTCGGGTATATTTCGGGTTGGTACGTACATATAATTTTCAGAGCAAGTTGCCATACCCAAAATACCAATTTGAAGATACTCGCCATTTTCCAATTTTACGATGAGAGGGGCACTCTGAAAATAAAATATCAAATAAGAAATTTATGAAAAGATACCTTAAAAATTTATTTACTAAAGCTGTTTGAAATGATTTAAGTTGATTTATATATATATTCTTTTCAATGTGTATTACTCATACTTGATTCATTTCATAGCTTTACAAACTATACTTATCCAGCAAGACAATAAACCACGGATAAAACAAAAACTTATCCGTTTCGCGCAAGTCTCTCCTCACAGAATTCTTACAAATCAGATCGGAAGAGCACACGTC